AGTTTATTTTTGTATACGTACCAGTAAAGGCAATTGTTCTGTGATCCGATATGCACCATAAAAATATCCGCATAATCTGACAGGGGGTGGTTGGCCCGTCGTATACGGTACATTAAAACATGAACGATTAAATGATTTTTTTATGTTTCATCCATATTAAGGTTCTGGTAGGCATTAAGATCAATAGTCAAGGTGTTCAAGATAAATTAATTATATTTATTGTGTAATACTATTTATTCGAATTTATTTAGTTAATAAAATTCAAGATCTTTTATTTAGTGTCGTGATTCGAATAAACTATTTTAAATTAGACAGTTTTATAATTTCTTAGCCTTTATTAGATTTGATTTAAATAAAATAAGTAAAAAAATTTTATTAAAAAGTGGTTAAAAGTCTAGTGCTGTTATGTCAGTATTTATAGTTTCTTCGATTCTGAATTTTAGAATCATCTGATCAACGATCATTACTAAATTAGGAGATCGTTTAAAGCCATGTGAGTTAATGTTACTTTTTTAATGCATTTATGGCTATTGCCTATAAAGATATCAAGAATGTAACTTATGTAGTATATGTTAAATGCACTTTGCTTTAAACGACCTCTAAATTTGGTATATTCCCTGACTGTACAACCGTAAAACTTTTGGTTCATGTCATATGTCTTGTCTATATAATTCATTATAAAAAAATAAATAAATCACTCTTAAGTAATTGTAGAAGTTCATAAAAGGAATTCTAAAGCATCTTACTGATTTATCTCTCTTAATTTCGTCAGAAGATAAACACCAATTATAATAACGAAAGTTGCTATTAAAAAATTTATAGCAACTCATATAGCTAATGTGTTTTATTATAAGAACTTGATTAACAATAATAATAAATAGTACATACCTCATTTGCCCCTTGAAATTTGTACCTCCAATTTTCAACGAGTCTTTGTTAAATACGATATTTGACTCAGTATTATGAAATCCAACTTTAACGCCATCTATATAGAATGTCATCCTCTTATCTTCTGAAATTGTATAACCTATATGATACCATTTGTCTAGAACAAGTCCATTGCCTGAATTGAATTCATTCTTCG